TGAGCAGTGGCAGTGGGCGTCACAGAGAGATTATTGATATGTCGGCAGTGCATTTATAAAACATTTTCCTAGTTGTTTGTAAAAGTTAACATTATCTGTTCTTATAATTATTATTTTAAGTTCTTAGAATTTGACATTATATTTTTAGTTTTTATAACTTTTATTTTAAGTTGTAATTAGTGGGCATACGAAAACTAAATACAGGTTCACATTTAAATGGGAAAACTAAATACGAAAATTAGAATCCGAAAATTAAATAAATGGGAAAAACATAGCAATAGCAATATTAGGTCACATAGAAAAGGCAACTAGATTGTTCCACTGCTGCACCCGGTCATGATATAACGCATCCCAGCCCTCTACGCTTGCTGTACGAATGGTGTACCACGTTGGTATAATCGGTGGGACCGGAAAATCGGGTGACAGGTCCAGTCGGATGAAATGTCTGTATGACGGCCCCAGAAATCCAATAGCAACCTCTCTTACCGGTCTGGTGACGGTCTCACGCGAACACCAAGGCAGAACCGTGGTACACGGATAGTAAGCTCGACCATGCAAACCAAGGCCGAAATGCATCACTGCACACTTGTAGATGTTTGCAACGGCGAAGAGATCAAGGGGCGCGTCGAACCAATGATTTTGACCGCAACGTCCTCCTCCCCACCGGATACGCTGCAGAGACCTATCCAAGTCCTGTCCGTACACGTGGCGATAAACAGCTCGGTTTGAGGCGATTTCACTGTACATCAACTGACGCACTAAACCGTAGTTGTCTTCACCCATCTGAAACACATCAGCCACAACCCGAAATCCCAGTTACCATCTGCAACAATTGGTCCAACCGTCACCCCTTTGCTGTTGTCGAACCTTTACTCTGAACTGACACCCACAACCTTTCCGCTTTGTATCAAACCGAATCGCTTGACTGAAATCTCGTTCCTCCCTTTTGCGATAACGGTCGCATCTCAAAATGCGATCCATTCTACCATCCCGTTGAGATTTATGAGTTGCTACTACTAAACAAAAACCTGATCTAATTGCAACCTGTTTCGCCCAATCAACCGCTTGTTGAGCATCTTCGAACAGACCATCGTGTACAAAAATCCCACTATAATCATTTCCGTCTCCACCATAATCCTGCAACAATAACATATAAATATAATCACATAAGAGTAGATTAAATTAATACATTTGACACAACATTAGCACAAAAGCAAAAACAATAATAAATTATAAACAACAAACAAAGAAATAAACAAAAAGTATTCAAAAAAAAAAAAAAAACAAAACACAAAAATAAAAAACATAAACAAAACTTTAGATTAAATAAATAAAAATAAACCAAAAAAATAAAAACAAAAAAAAAACATAAAACGAAAAAAATTGTAAAAAAATAAATAAAAAATAAATAAATTAAAAACAAAAACAAATTAAAACAATTAAAAACAAAACAAAAAAAAAACCAAAAAAAAAAGAAAAAAATTGTAACACAAAAAAAAAAAATAAACAAATTTTAAATTAAATTAAAAAAAAAAAAAAAAAAAAATAGTGGTGGCGCCTAGCCAGGACGCCGCCACCGTGGCGGCGGCGGCGTCTTGGCCAGACGCCACGGCCACGGTGGCGGCGTCCTGGCCAGGCGCCAGAGCCACGGTGGCGGCGTCCTGGCTAGGCGCCACCACTACGGTCACGGCGTCCCGGCAGGACGCCAGCCGCCAATTCGTGGTTTTAGATGGCTTCGTACCTCCTTTTCCGGCGTCAACGGCGTCTCTCCGGTGCATCTACCCGACGTTGAGGGCTCTTCGGTTTCACTCGGCGATCCAGTCCTGCTCCACATTTTTTATGAGTGAAAAATTTTATTTTCGGTAAAAATTAAAACAAGGGCAATAATGTCAACATTTTTAAAAAATGTGGGCTTTATGTAGAAAAACGCGGGCGATGTTTAACAAATCCCATATTTAGACATAGATTACATCTTCTTCACTGTCGTCGTGGTAGACACTCAACATGCGGACAGTGAATGATAAAAACGTCCGGAGGATGAGTTTCACCTGTAAATAGAAACACAAAAATATTAGCAAGACTGTTTGAAAGATCCACCGTATAGGTAAAAGCAAGAAACAATATGAATAACATACCAAAATTATAGGGCGTTGGAGTTAGTTTACAACAGTGTAAAACTTCATTTGGTGCATGTTTTAGATCAGCAAAAAAGAATTCTGGAGCAGAATTAGTTCCCTTGAGCCGAGCAAAAAAGTTGATATGAGTACCCCAACCAACTAATTTGTTAATTACGGTTTGTCCAACAATATGGACTAACTCATAATCAACGCCCTAATATTATTTGGAGCAAAAGAAAAAGAAATCAATTAAAACAGATTAATTAGTTATAAACCAGTATTGTACACTATAAAATAGAGGATATATAAGAGAGTAAAATACTTCGTATCGTAATAAAGTAAAAGAGACTATACCTTCTTTTCTTTGTAATATGCCAAACATAAAGTCAACAAAGTTATTGTCATCAGTTGGTGTTCCTGTACTACTAGCTTAATAGCTTCCAATAAACTAGAAAACAAGTCAGTGAGGTTGTTCCAAGGAGGAATTCTTAGCCTCTAATAAGGATTTTTTTTTCAAACTAAGCCTTATTACAAAACTATTTTGTAAAGTAGACTCGTGGTCAAACTATTTACTAAACTAAGCTTACAGGTAAAACGCCGTCACACATATTTAATATGTAAAATTTCCTAAAAAAAAAAAAATTGAAAAAAAAATTCCGTAATTTCTGATTTAAAATTTCTGATTTTAATTCCGTAATTTCTGATTTAAAATTTCCTAAAAAAAAAAAATTGAATATGTAAAACGCCGTCACACATATTTATTTTTTTATACAGCGTTTCACTAACTTATTTTTATTTTTTTTTTAAAAAAAAAAATCAGATACTCCACTCTCCATTAAAGCATACTCCACGTATCATATTTTTTGTTAATCAAATTATATGTAATTTTAATATACCAAAGCTATTATTTTAATATTACAAAATAAAAGGGAGTCTTATTCTTCCTCCTTTGGAGATTTTCAGTTTTATTCTTCCTTCTCTGAGCTTTCTGTTCTTCATTGAATCAGCTTCTCAGGTGGTAAGCTGTTTTCTTTTTCTTTTACTTTTTAATCATCGTCTATCAATTTCACAATATTGTTAATTTAATTTTCAGCATTGTCAATTAAGGGTTCTGGATTATTGAACTACTGCTTATAATTACTCAACTTATGAATGTTTATACGGATCGATTTTGAATTTGCTATGTTCGCTTTAAGGCTATATTCTTAATCCAGTATGATTTTTGGAACCTAAATTGATAATTGAGTCAAATTTATTTCTTAATCTGGTTGCAGAACTCTTAAGTTGAGGATCAAGTTAAGATTAGGTTGTACTTAAGTTGGGATCTTTCTGTTTTCAGCCATAAATTGAACAAATGTTTACATACCCGGTTTTAGTGTAACTATCTAATGTACCATCTCCATTTCTTATTAATTGAATTTTCATATTTTTTTTGCTTCAATGGAGAACGGGGAGTATGCTTCAATGGAGAACGTGGAGTACGTATGCTTCAATGGAGAATGTCGAGTATCTGATTATTTTTTTTTTTAAAAATAATAAAAAAAAAAAGTTAGTGAAACGCTGTCTCAGACAGCGTTTCACTAACTTATTTTTTTTAAAAAAAAATCAGAAATTTGGTTTTTTTTTTTTAAAAAAAAAAATTCAATATGTAAAACGCTGTTTGGGATAACGTTTTATGTAAAAAAAAGTCAACATGTAAAACGCTGTCCCAGATAGCGTTTTACAAATTGTTTTTAAGGTATAAAACGTTGTTCGAGACAGGTTTTACCCTGGAAGCTTAGTTTGATAAATAGATTTGCCACGAGTCTACTTTACAAAATAGTTTTATAATAAGATTTAGTTTGGTTAATTGTCCCTCTAATAATTAGAGTCATTCATGACTCTAATAACACACGTTAATATTTCACATGATACCAACAACAAATTATATCGATACCAACAAAATATTTTTACATTCGTTGGTACCACTGAATAAGGTTATTGGTATCATGATGATACCATCTAAAGTATAATGAAATACCAACGCGTGTTATGACATTTTTTTTTTCCAAGTACGGTAAAAATAAGTAGACAGATATGCCCTTATTAGAGTCATTTATGACTCTAACTTCTAGAGTCTTAGAATTCCTATGTTCCAAGCTCAACTACTAAAAGAAATTTATTGAAGACACATTGATGAACAAGGGGAGAAAAGGTACTACTTTAGTACTTTTCTGTCGTTTATGTCATTTGTTGTGTCATGCAAATGTATCTTGTGCATTTATTTAGCTATTTATTTGTTTATTTTCGTGTTGCTTGTATTGGTTTAGTTTGAATGGGGAATTCATATTCTTGTAATGTTTCGATAATACATATGCTGGACATATTTGTGGTTTTAAACTTTAAAGATTATTCTTAATCACTCTTTTGTTTCTTCCAATCATTTTTTTATAATCCAAACAAGTTATAAACTGCCCTTATGTGCATGAAGCCTCGACCTATGGCTGCATGAGATACCACTATACCAATTCCTCAAGGAGTGCAATATTGTTATTACATTTTGCAATTAAGAAAGACAACCGCAATTACAATTCCTCGTTTGGTTCATTTTTAGAGTGTATAAATATAATAAGAAAAACCTATTCTATCAAAATTCGGCATAAATCAAAAGTAAACCAACAAAAAAAAATAATTAATCAAACCAAACTAGTTCACATGGTGACATTGAAGAAAAAAAAAAATTCCTTCCAAGTCAAAATTTTGTTAATAGTATAACTAATTTTGAAATTAAAATTTATAAATAACCATTTTGATAAATACTTTTGTAAAAGTAGTTAATTTAGTAAAATATCCTTTGCACATACATAACAATACTTTTATGTTTTATCACTACTCCCTCGAAAATGTCATGTCATTCATCATTTCGTATAAAAATCTCAGTGGGCTGACACTAATAAATAGTCTAACAACTTTTCATGATATATCACAACGATTCAACACATAATATATGTTTTTATTGCCAAATTCAGTGATAATCGTCCTAATCTATCCTAGCAATAATAATAAGTCTACAACATTAATTAGTTACATATTTAGATATCGATTACATCTTCTTCACTATCGTCGTGGTAGAAATAGTTGAGAAGCGCAGCACATTGCAAGCACTCAACATGCGGACAGTGAAAGATAAAAACATCCGGAGGATGAGTTTCGCCTGTAAATAAAAACACAAAAATATTAGCAAAAAGGTTTGAAAGATCCACCGTATAGGTAAAAGAACGAAACAATTTGAATAACATACCAAAATTATAGGGCGCTGGAGTTAGTTTACAACAGTGTAAAACTTCATTTGGTGCATATTTTATATCAGCAAAAAAGAATTCTGGAGAGGAATTAGTTCCCTTGAGCCGAGCAAAAAAGTTGATATGAGTACCCCAACCAACTGATCTGTTAATAACGGTTTGTCCAACAAGATGGACTAACTCATAATCAACGCCCTAATATTATTTGGAGCAAACGAAAAAGAAATCCAATTAAAACAGATTAGTTGGTTATAAACCGGTACTGTACATTGTAAAATAGAGGAATAAATAAGAGAGTAAAATACTTCAATAAAATAAATGAGACTATACCTTCTTTTCTTTGTAATATGCCAAACATAAGTTAACAAAGTTATTGTCATCAGTTGGTGTTCCTGTACTGGTTTGGGGAAAAAAAAAAAAAAGATTTAATGAAATCAATAATGAATTAAATAAAAAGCAAGGAATTTTTTTTTTTTTTTTTCCAAAATAAAATCATATGTTGGAACCATCGTACGTGAACATGTTACATGCATCTTCAATGCTCAAGATATGATACAAGTACTATATAGGATATAAAGCAATGGAAATCTTGAAATATAGATAGCCCAATTAATATTCAAAACGAGTTACTCAAACATGACCCTAAGGTCAGCTAAATGTACTGTACAATTAAATTAGTTAAAATTTAATGGTTACTTTATATACAATAACACAATACATTGGTATTATTGTAATTATATTTATCTGTTAACTAAATGTGCTATTATTAGCTTAAATTTAGTTTGAATTTCAAGTTAATAGGTAGATTGTAAGTTGAAATTCTAGACACGCTCCCATTTTCTAATGTGGTACATAGAGTATTTTTTACGAGTATTAATTTCTACTCTCATGAAAATGTTTTGATCACTAAAAACTATCATTATAATCGGATTGTTAGTAATAGTAACATAACAAACAAGTAATAAAATTATAAGAGATTAAATTAATAGAAGAAAAAACTCACACTTTGGCTTCCTTAGAACGATGTGGCTTCAATAAAGGGGCATTAGAAGTGCCTTTGCGTGTCCATCTGAAAGTACCAAAGACTCCAAAAATTAACAACTAATAAAAATTATAGTCATACATCAAAAGAAACGAGCAAGGATTAATTAAATATTCCCCAAATCCTTATTCAGATTTATTAATAAAATACGAAATATAATTAATAAAAAATATATGTGAATATATTAGGTAAAGATTATTTATGTTAAAGATATTATTTGATAAATAAAACTTTAGATTTTAATATATTTTATGGTAAAGATTTTTTATAGGAAATTACTAAAATATCTGTAGTTAAATTTTCCTAATTTAAATTAGGACACTTAATCAGAAATGTTATCTAAAGTAATTAAACTGATTATTTCCACCCAAATTCACCACCCACCAAACTAAATCATTCATTTCATCCTAACATAATTCATCTATTCTTCAACTTCATAAGTGAGTAATGTTATGCTGTTTGCGAGTGTGGGGCGTTTTGGAAGGGGGAAAGGATAGGGTCGGGTGATAGAGTTACAAGATAATTATTCTTTGATAATTATCTCTTCCTTATTATTAGCTCTGTATTTATTATTAGCTGTACACTTAGCATAGCTATGTGATTATCTTTTTGTTATTATCTTTTGGTTGTACATAGCTTATTAGTTGCTTTGCTGTATAAATATAGGTTGTAAACTCTGTTAATAATTTTTTTAAGCAAATACATTTATCTTTCATCGGGATGGGGGGAAGGACGGTAGAGGATTCGGTTGTGGGGTCGTGGGTATGTGATTTAATGGTAGTTTTGGTGGTGGGGAAGGCGAGGGGTGGTGGTCGGCAGGCCAAGGGCGAGGAGAGGGGCTGCTGTAGTGGGGGTTTCCAAAATATAATTTTTTTTTTTTTTTCTTAAAAAAGAGTTTTTTTAATAATTAATTAAAATATTAAATTTTTAAAAAGAGTGAAGTGGTTTTCATGGCTTTGGGATTTTTTTGGTTTCGAGTAGTTAAGGTTGGGTAGAGGGGTGGTCGAATAGCAATGATCCAAAAATTGAAGGACTCACCTTGTAGAAGATGGAGAAGAACAGGGTTGGACAGGAAGTTGATGCCCTGGAAAATCAAATTCATCCCTAAATTAAAATAACAACAAAAAAAATTAGCAATATTAATTCAGCAAACAAACATTAACAAAAAATAAATAAAAATCGGACAAGAAAGGTTAACCATAGATCCATGTCACTGTCACTGTCATTGTTCGTCTTCACACTCTTTGCCTTGGCCTTCATCTTCTTCTGCTTTGTTCCCCTGCTCCCCTCACTCTCCATGAAGAAGGTTTTTTTTTTACAAGGTTTATTTTTTGTTTTTGGTGGTGAATTGGTGATAGAATCTAATATATAAAGTTAAAAGGGAGGTGATAAATTTCACTTTCCTAATTTACTCCTCCTAATTATGCAGAGTATCAATTTCGTGAGAGATACTCCGTAGTATGATAGATGAATGGTGGCAATAGTAAATAAAGAAATACGGAGTATATACTTCTACCTAATAATCTATGTTTACCATGGTCAGCAATTTTAACCCATATATCACCACTTTAAACTTAATTACTGTGAATTAACTTCTTTTTTTTTTTTTTATAAACTTAGTAATGTCATGTTTAACCAGCGCAGAAAATTTTGACGAGACTACCATTCCAAGATGGAAAATTAAATACAAAACAATCAAGATACAATGTGCCAAGACTGCCAACATGTGTTGCCATTGTGGGTTTAATGTAAGAATGCATGTAATCATATATCACCATTGCCCTTCTATGAAGGAAGACCATAATTTCAGAAGAACATCTCTAAAATTTATGAAGACATCTCTGAAATTTATGTCAAATAAGCAGTATAAAACAACTCTCTAATTAATAGAGATAGCAAGAGTAATGGAGACAATTTTTTTGATTGATTCCACTTTTTATTGTCTTTTAATGATCAGATTCCAGTTCAAAAGTGTTTCATTTTAGCAAGTCACTTAAGAACTTCGTAGCTTATCAACGATGGTCAGCAGCTCACAACCTCTTTCAAGAGTTCTGCTAAACTAGTTAAAAACTTACAAGTTCATTGTAGAAACAATAAATTCTTTGTCAAACAACAAATTGGTTCATAAATTATTAGAATTTAATTACTTTTCCGCTCTTTAAATACTTTACACTTATTATTCATGTGGTTAAAGTAAACTTTGCCTGCGTTTAGCAATTCATATAAACAATCTCAATAAAAAAAATACCAAAGTTGCATAGAGAAATTCCTGTCATGAACATTGCAATGAAAAAGAGTCTCAAATTATGCAAATGAATCACTCAGTTAGAACACATACACATCAGAACAAAACAAAAACCTAGTTAGTGAATATGTACGGTCGAAACTTGTTGCTACTACCCTGCCACTAATATTACCAATTTTTTACGACAAAAGAAAAAGAGCTCAATCTATGTATAACTAACAGTTTTCATTGCCAAAAAAAAAAAAAAAAAATGTTTTCATAAACAAGGTACAATATCACAATTCATCAAAACTTATTAACATACTAATATTGAAAACCGTTCCAAAACAAAAATTTGAGATTAAGAAAATATATAAAAGGATAAAAAAAAAAAAATAAGACGGAATTTTTTTAACGAGAATTTGATATGTGCCATTTCTAAACTAGTGCCTTTACTGTCAGAAATTCAGGATGCAGAATTATATTTATGCCTTTAATGACTGAAGTCTACACTTTATGATCTGAAATTATGTCAAATTAGCCATATGATGCAGCACAAATTTCAAAAAAAAAGGGAGTGTAAAGGAGATGTACTGTTTAATTGCAAGCGATATGAAGTTAATTAGGGAAAATCACTGATAAAATAGATGAGTAATGAGAGGAAATAAACAAGTCTCATGGCATGGAATAAAATTCCAAGCAAGCTTCCAATGATCCAGAAGTTGGTTAGATAAATCCTAAGTTCACCTTTCATATTTCATATCTAAAAAGCTGACAAAGAAGGTAAGGTCCTAGTGATATATGGGCATACACTTTTGCAAATGGTAAAACTTCTACAAGAATTAGTGGAGTAAGCAAAGTCTATTCGAAAGCAAAAAACAATTTGGGACAAGTTTACAAATATAATAAAAATATGGACCTAAGGATTTCAAAAAAAGGAGGTCGAGCAATCCAACAATAAAATTTGAGCTTCCTTCAACATTGGAGGTGGTAATCTAAGCAAGCACCAGTTAGTGGATAGCGCACACCATGGTCAAGCAGAGGAGATTGAGTCATAAAGGGAAAATCTCGTATGAGTGGGTCTCAAGTGTGCCAGGCACCTTCACAATCCAAGGTGCACTAGAAGGGAAGAGCTTGTAGTTTAGATGTAGGTTCGGGCAGCCATTTTGGTGGCTTTGGAGCTTCCATGTCAACGGTTGGTGTAGATTTTTCAAATTGGGGGATTGAATCCAAATTAGGGCCATAAGGTGGCTAGGGGATATACAAGGGTGTCTTGGTGTGAGATTGGTGGATCTTAGATCAAAAGGTCGGAGGATCCAAGGTTTGAACCTTTAACCGCACTCTAGTTAAAGATATATCGATAGTTAACCATTGTGACACAATTTATATATTCATACATAAGGTAATAAATTCTTTATATCTAATTGTTTAAAAACAAATTACCAGCAATAGGGCCTCTATAAGCCTGAATGATTGTTCCCTAGAAAATTTAAGGGTGGAGAAGTAGACAAGCAATTTAATGGAGACTTCTTCATGCGGTGGTGTGAGAAGATTTATCAAATTATCATTATCTTGGAGAAAATTCCACAAGATGTTGCTAAGGGCAACAATGTCAATACCCTAATGAGGCATCAAGAATGCAATAAGGCACATTTCAATTCCTCCTAAAAATTCACCTTTACTCCGTTTAATGAGGCACGGACAGAAGTTAGGCCAATCCATTTAAATCCTAACTCGTTGAACCTCACAATGAATCTATTAGGTAGAGCAGAAGTTAAAAACAAGTTCAACTTAAATGAGTAAGGTTAGGGCCACCATTAGCTAACCCAAATTTCAAAATATTTTTCCAAACTTAGACAGAGCTCAGTCTAATACCCATTACTCCACCAAACTCATACATCAACTCAATCCACTATTCATTAAACCCACCTACCTCTGCAACAATAATCATCATTTAATCTACTAAACCCACAAAACTACAAATTTACACCCTTAATAGTTCCCACTCTTTCATTTTAACAAAAATGGAACTTGGAAGCATGACATCTGTTTTGAGTGGGACAGTGCCCATCAACATCAAAGGAAGGCACAAAGGGAAGCACAATATAAGGCTTTGTTCTCTTTACCTTACTAATTCAGATCATCAGATCAACCCAAAAAAGTTCAGACCTAATCAGTTTCGTTTGCTTATTGTCATATATCCTTAACTTTGTTTTTAAAATTATTATGAAAATCAGATGTTTAAAAAATACACATTAAGGTGAATCTAACAAGATCTCACTTGATCATGTTTTTTCATATACAGTAATGAGGCCATAATTCAATCAAATTAAACAATCAAATCAAACCTAATTAGAATAACTCAGGTCAAACCAGACTTGACTTCAGATATTTCAAGTTAAAATAACAAAGCCTAACTCTGCTATAAGAAGCTAAGGAAGGAAGAATCAAAAGATCTATAAAAACCTGATAGAGAGAATGGCATTGGAAAAAAGTTGTTTAGTCAGTTTTTGAATTGGTTTTCTTTTGAGAGTAATTTAAGCCACCCAATTGCCCAAAAAAAAATGTCAAGCCACTTGAAAACTCTATAAATTATCATTATTTCTTGTATTTGACAGATTAACAATTAAAGTCGCCTTTTTCTCCTAAATTCTTCGGCAGTGTGTTCCTTTTGTAAATGGATAATGAAATTGATGGAACACAAATATGGCTAGTCTGTTAATGAAAATAGCGTAAGAGCAGATAATTTGTAATAAGCTACCTGAAGGATGAAATGCATAACTGCATAATAAGTGAGATTATTATATGAATTAAAGACAAGACTTGAAAATTATTCTACACTTTCAATTTACCAAACAGCTCTGACCTGACAATAGCTGTTAGCCATTGAATAGCAACAAAACACCAACCAAATTCACTATTTTGCTGTGGTCTCTCAGTAATTAATTAGCAGGCATACAAAGTGGAAAAGAAACTTCATCTTATGTTCAAAATCATTTTGGAGAAAAGCAAAATTTAACCTAAGGAAGCAAAAATAACATTATGTGAAGTCCGACCCATATAATAAGGATTCCATATAGATTCTATTGTATCAAAAATTTTTGGAACAAAAGCAATTATTTTTACAGGAAGTAAACATGTCACCAATTAGATCAATCAAGTAGTTAAATTAAGAAAAAGAATTAAGTAAGACGGTCTTACTTGGCTAGGTCCAAAGCCAGGGTGGTGAAATAATCACCAACACAACAAAAATCATTATAAAAAATAAAACATATATATATATATATATGAAGTGGTAATTAATTGTAGAGAGGTTAAAATCAATATACACACGCTTTGATTTCATCATGACGAAGTCGCTTCAGTGGAGGGCTATCAGATTCACATACACGTGCCCTGCTGCAAAGCACAAAAGAGCCAAACAAATTTAAACTCAAAGAAAAATCTCATTGATTTACGAAATTTCTCAAGCTGCATTAGTACAGTTCTCTCATTATTATTGGGGAAAAAATAATAACATACATGAGGAAAAAAGAACTATCCAATGCTAATGTAAATAATATGAAGACAAGATAATTAGTTAACAGATGTAAAACTATTTATAAGCCTATCCATAGATGATAATGCCACATACAAAATTAGTAAGAGTGATTAAACAAAGATAATAGATGGTTCTACCTCCAAGTTGTGTAGCTCTCATTGTCGGAGTTGGAAATGGTCAAGCTACAGGGAGAAAGAACAAACTCACTAACACTAAAGCTCAATTTGAGTAAAACAGATGTTATAAATTCACAAAAACAGACCAATCTGATGACAAGTTGTGAAGAAGGAATTTAAAATCTAATGGATGAATATTAAACAGAGCAATCAGCTAGTCTGCCCAGTGCCCATCCATGTTAAACGGCAAAAGACAAATTGCGTTTGTAACTGGGCTTACCGTGAACTTACAGGAGAATATTCAGGCATTTCTTTGACAGGATGAAGAGTTGACCACAACAATGGTGCAGGAGGATGCTGGCTAGTATAATGTCAAATCATGCAAACAAAGAAGCAAAATAAAATAAAAAAAAGCTGTTAGGTTATCCAAACATGATAAACAACACATACAATAATTAAGAGTCATTAACAGAGTTAATTTACAAGTCTACTCCAAAATTGTACTAATTGCCATTGTCAAGCACTGGTCAAACTACATTGTGAAAGAATCTCAGCTTTCATAAAATAAATAATTCAATCAAGAGAAAAGATATCTTTGTGGAAAGCATTACTATAAGAACGCAGCATATTGTTATTGCTGTTCCATGTCAGGATGAAGACGCCGCGACAATGTCTGTGGAGCAGAGGGATCCTTGCTGAAATAATGTCAAGTTATCCATAAGAAGCAGCAAAAAATAACAATCATAGTTAACATGAGTTCTTCCGATATTAGTTTATTTTCTTAATAGCCAACCCAATTTATAAAAAAGTAAAAGTTCTGGTAGCAGGATACAGTTACACAATCCACAACAAATATACTACGTAATTGACAACCACACGTAGAGATGTCAATTTTTGTGTGCAGGTCGAGTTCAGTGAAGTCAAGTCGGGTTGATTTTAGATTTAAGTCATGCTAAATTACTGCATGCATAGTTCCATACAAGTCTATTCTTCCAGTTCAGGTCAATTACGTCAGTTTTTGACACTTCTAACCATACAAATACACATTCAGACACTCCCGCGTGCGCACACACACAAGGAATTCAATCAATAAATATTTCGTATTAAATCAGACAAGCATTAGAGATCAATTGCGTAAAATATATTTTAAAAACAAAGGGAGCTGGAAATTATATATAAGCTTACAGTGAGGATACAGAAGAAGGGGATAGCTGACGCCCTGGTAAAATGATGTCGTCACTGAAATTATGATCTCAAATTAGCAATAATAATTCAACAATTATATCGACAAAAGCACAATCAACTTGTTGAACGGAAAACAGAGCAATTATAAAAATAAAACACTCTTTTTAGACTTGATTTTCAAAAATATCCACAATCAATTAGCGAAATATCAAGATTATAGCATCAATTTAACGCAAAATTACCACAGCAGCACCAAAATTTTAGAAAAAAAATCAAAAATTATGAAAAAAAAATTACACAAAATTTACAAAATCATAGCATAAATTTGATGCAAATTAGTGGAATCAAAGATGAGATACAAACTATAGATCCATGTCGCTGTCACTGTCACCGTCATTGTACGTCTTCATCCGCTGAGATTTAGCACTAGCAGAAATTCACAGTAAAATTAATGAAACGGAACAACTTAAGAGATAAATTCAAAGAGGAATTCAAAGAAAATAGCCAAACCCTAGATGCATTTCAGTGTTGACGAATTCTGCCATCAACGTCCACTTACTCGAGCTTCACAATTGCTCAGTTTTTGGAGTTTAACAGAAGAGCAAAGTGTAATCAAAGGTAGAGTCATTGAGGAAAAAGCGTGAAACAGTATATAAATAGCGTGGGGGTTCATTAGCTAGCTCTCGCGGTTTTCCGCGTTTTCGGGTACTTCATTATTCATTGATTTCATATTGAGGATATTTTGGATTTTAATACCGGATAAAAAGGCTGAAAATGATTTTTGACATTAAAAAAAATAATTTATTTTAACACTATAAAAAATTAAAAATTTGAAGCTACCATCAAAATCTTGTATCCGTTAGCAGAACTGTTACTGAGCTCCACTCTAACGGATAATTTTTTTTAAATTTCTCTATATATATGCACGATTCTCCCCAATTATCCCCTTTTGTAACTAAATCTTTGTTCGAATTTAGTAGAACCAGATCGCATTGCATCCAAAAAACCAAAATTATTGAAGCATTGTTTGAATTTTGAGAAGAGGAAGAGGTTGAATCTGTTGAAACAGGTATGTGTGTTCATACGATGACAACGAATTATGTGTAATCAAATTGGGGAAATATAGTTCGTTTGTTTAGTAATAATGGTTTGAATTCATTACGTTTATTATTTACAATTGTTTTGTACTCGAACTGATGGTTGGATTATGTTATGTATGCATGTAACTGCCCAATTACAAAATTAGGGTTCATCACAAATTGAAATTGGGGCTTTTCGTATTAGGTAATTAATGTAAACTCCGTATTTTAATGTATTTTATTAATTATTTAATTAATTATAAAATATATTTTTAAGTGCTCAAGTATTTTAATTAAATAATTAAAGGGCTAAAGTATTTAAGTTATTGAGTTTTATAAAAGTATAATACATTTTGGGCTAAATATTTATTAATTGTTTGGGCTCATTTAAACAATAGTATGTAAACAATCCTTATATACTCCTAGTGGACCTATCCATTTAATTTAAGTAAGCCCAATTCTTTTATTTGAACCCTTGTGGGTCAAATATTTCATGACTAAAGTTCATTTATTTATTAAGCCCAAACCTAATCTCTACTCTCTACTCTATAAATATCCCCCAAAATCCCAAAACTTTCCCACACAAAGAGACTCAAAAATCAGATTCTTGGGGATAAGTATTATTTTCTTTGTTTTTCTTTATTTTTCTTTTCTTTTCTCCTTTTTCTTATTTTTTTCTTTCTTTCTTTGCTGCTCCTTGGTTCATGTGTGAACTCATGTTTGCATGGCCACTTGCTGCCTTCATGTGTTGTCGGCACCCGTCACCATAGCCACGCCGCCGGCCACCTCCGTCGACCACAAGATCGCAGCCGACGACCCTCGGCCGGCCCAGCTCACCACCGATGGTGGTTTTCCTCTCCTCTCCGCTCCCTTGCTTTAAATTATTACTCTTATATAATTATATATCTTGGGTTTTGATTTTGGTTGTTAAATTATGGTTAGTATGTTTTATAATTATGTTTTGATAATTAAAGATTGTAAATTTTAGAGTATAAAGTGTTTAAATTTATGATTTTATAAAGTATAAAAAGCTAGGGTTTCAATTGTAAAAGAATTGATTTTTAGGGTTCTAACTTACAAGTAATTTGGGAGTTTTATATACCTATTGATTGTAAGTGATTATAAAGCTTAAAGACTATATTTTTATGGAGTTTTAATGAGTTTTATCAAAATAATAATGCTGGAAGTTTATTTTAAGTACTACTTTTGTGTTTTAATAAAAAGGGGTTGATTACCCATAAGTAGAGAAGGTTTTAATTGATTTTAATGGAATTTTCAGATTTATTTGAAAGGTTTAAACCTTAAAAAGTTTGCTGGAATTTTTATATAAACACTATAATTGAGCTTTTACATTGGGGTTTTAATTACCCACTTTCAAAAAAAAAAAAAAAAAAGTTTAAAAGGTTTTAAACCAAAATTTCAGCTTATTGGAGTGGTTTTAAAATGTTTAAAAGTTGCTGGAAATTTGTGTAATCAAGGGAGTAATTGAGTTTATGTATTTGGTATTGTAGGAGACTTCCAAGTGAGTGATTTTATTTAGTTGTGGCGGATTTGAGATCATATTCAAGGTACGTTCGCGTACTTGGTAATTATTTTGAATATGTAGAGGCATGCTAGGCTTTGATAAATTAATTCCAAGTAGTATCATGATAGGTTTTGGTTGGAATTTGTGATTGGATTGATGTTGGTAAATGATTTGTGATGTATGAATTATTTATGATGAATTGGTGATTAGAATTAATTATGTTAGCATGTTGATTATGAACCACACTTTTATTATTGGCATGATAGAGAACATGTTTAATTAAACTAAATGTTTAATTTGGTTTGGAATATAAAAATGAAATTTTATTATGGTTCATATAATTTTTATTGATGCTATAAGCATGGGAATTGAGCTATTTAAGTGTCTTAGTACACAGGAATAAATTATATTGTGGTGCCTATGTGCACTTAAGGTGTTTCTAACACCGAGGGATAGGATTTGCGGCGCACTATGAGTTTAAGGTGTCTTTGACATCGAGGTAGATTAAAAAGGGTTCAACAATTAAATTTATATGGTCACTAATTATTCAAGAATTAAATTGGTATGTTTGGTTGTGTTATGGTTTGAGAGTCATCACCAAGTATAATAATATGTAAAGCAACGTAAAGTGAAAGAGATTACACACCAAAACTCTTGGAACGTATATACCTTGAGTATGAACATATGGGGGGAATTATGCGACTTTATATTTGACCATAACTTCTACTGGGAGTATAGGATGTTGTATTTTCCTTTTATTTATTTTATGCGCAGGACGTCCAGTCACTTTATGTGACATTTGCCTACCCGGTTAGCTCTCGGTGTAATTTACCTCAATTTTTGGGGCAGTGATTTGGTGGGAAACCCGTTCGATGCGTAATTAAGTAAGCAATTCATTTATTTATTGGTTGGTCGTTTGGTATGTTGTATGCTTGTAAACAGGTGCAACAAGGTAAGTTGTGTGTTGATAGGATGAAAACATGTTAGTGTGCTTTTTATTACGCTTATGTACTCAGCATTGCTGATTGTGTGTTGTATGTTTGTTTGGCCTTGTCTTTACCTTGACCCTACGACGACCCATTTCTAATGGCGAGTAGTGGGGACAAGTAGAGAGAAGCTTTTCAGGTGATGAAGCATATTTATGATGGGCATGAGAGAAGATCGAATCATGCTTAGTTTCTATAGGAATATGATGTGTTTTATTTGCTTTGAATATTATTTATTTTTATCATGCTCTTGAGACTAACGTAAAGGTTTTCAGTATTGCTTGGTTTTAAGGGCCTACAATGGTTCCAAGCTGTAGGTTGACTTTGTTTGACTTTACTTTCTTTTGGTTTGACTTTTTAAGTTGACTTGTTTTTAAATGGTTTTAAAGATAGTCTTCCGCTGTGTGTCTTTGATATTTTCCTTAGCCGTTTTCACGGTGGCGGTAATGTCTTAGATTTTCCTATTTTGTATTTTAAAAGGGCAAAGTAGGTATTTTAAAGGAAAGAAATTTCTAGGGTGTTACAATTAAAAATGAAAATTGTTGCTGACAATGTTAATTCGTTAGTGTACAAATCTGTAAATGTGATTGTTGATCTAAAATTGATGCAGATTATGCCGTTTATTAGCTCTTCCCCTTCTAAGCAAAAAAATGCCAGTGTAGTGTGCCAATGGCCAAGCTCACTAGCTGGACAAGGGAGAATCCAGGCAAGAAGTTCATATCTTGTAAGTTTTATGACCCAATCACAGAAACTAGGGGCTGCAAAGCTTTCGAATGGGTTGATCAACCTGATGGAACAGATTAGCAAACAGGGGTTATCAACAACCTGTTGTTGAATAAGAAGCTGCTAAAGGGTGAAGTCAATGAATCGAAAAGGGAAGTTGATGAAATCAGTGGCCAAAGGAGGTGCCTACTTAATGAAGTTGATAATTTGAAGATGAGATGCATGGCCTTGAACGCTGACAAGAAGAGAATGAACAGGGAGTGCAATGCAGGGAAGATGTCTTCAATCAACTGTTTTGGTTGGGTGGGCATGGCCATTTGTATTGGTTTGTGAATGGGTGTAGTTTTCCTAATGGTTAGGGGTGTTTAACAGTCAGCTGTATTAAGTAGTTATAATTTCTTGTAATGACTTGAAGTGTTATGAGTTTGGTTTTAGTGATATATATATGTATTTCAATCAACCTATTTATGACTTGTCTAAGTTGTTAAATTGAGAATGTTTTAACATTGGAAAAGGATTTAAACATGGGAAATATGTGAAACACTTGCATGTTTTAAAGTTATAGGAATACATTGAAAATGGAACTAAGCACTTCAACTATAGGTTGACAAAAGAAGCTTACTTGAAACTCTATTAATGGCAATCAAAGCCATGCAAAAGCTATAATAATGTATCCAAATGTTCAAATGGTAATCAAAGCCATAGAAAAAGTACCAAAATAGATTAAACAGACACAATGTTTTCTAAGCAGTCATGAGTACATCACTGAGTGAGGTTTAACTTGCTGAAGGTTTGCAGCTTGGCCCTTGTTACAACATAACACCTGTTTGGAGTGGTTGTTGAACTGTGGTTGTTGCGGCTGACTTGAGGAAGCCTTTGTCTTTGTTTTTGGTTGACTTGAGCTAGGATGACTTGAGCTTGTCTACCTTAACTGTGACTGTGCTTGCTTGCTTAATGGCAGACAACCTTCTTTTTCTTGAGGAAACTTTTTGTTTGCTATGCTGTTTGGTCCTGCCCCAATTGCACTCTATGACATGGATTTAAAAATAAAAAGTTAGTTAGCCAAACATACATAAAGGTAAAACAAAGGGGGAGTTGGTGTAATGCTTGTGTTACCTTTTTTGCAGCTCTAATCTCTTTCTTCTTCCTCTCCTCCACCATCCAAGGAGTGTTCAAGGGGGGTCTGCCTGTTAACCTTGTCACATCTATATTTGGTGCAGCAGGTAGTTTGCAGGTCTTGGCATAATGCCCAAATCCCCCACAGTGACTGCATTGCTTCTTCCTCTTTGTTGTGCTTAGTTGGCACCTGC